TGTAGGTTAAACAGGTATAGATATAAGTGCTTTATACCATTATGCCATGTAGTACGTTGCATTGTAATCGACTGAGCATGCAGAGCTAAGGAAGGGCACGCTAACCGTGGTGCAGCGAGCGAGGTAAGTCCAAAGAAAGTATCCTTCAACAATATGTCTGATATTTTTTAAAGAAATACCGTGAGTGTATATTTTATTTATATATATGTATAATATATCTATACGTGTGTGTGTGTGTGTACATCTATCCAAAACATGGAACACAGAAACATCACCTATAAGTCATAAGAAAATATAACTATCATGACTCTCTGTCCATGAAATAGATTAGAGCGTGTGTGTGTGTGCGTTTGTGTAGATATATAGATATACAGGCGCATACACTCATAAACATATATAAAAAGATGGTCATGGAATGTTGAGGGTGGTGGTTTTAGAGATAATTTCAGATGTTTTGCTAATACTTTGATGTGTCTGAATTTTTCGATAAAGCTATTGTACGGTGGGAAGAGAAAAAATGGAAACAAGAATAATAGTTTTTTAAAAATCACATGGCTCAGAAATGTAAGGCCTCTCCCCTAACTTTAGAGTCTGGATCCAGGCGAATTGCTGTTTGGAACCTTACAGCAGGAGCAGTCAGGAAGGGGACAAGCTGTGATGGAGACAGGACTGCAGAGGTGCCAGTCTGCCAGGGCCTGTGCCCGGTGCCCCTTTGCTCAGACGCTGGAAGAGACTCTTGTCTGGAGCTGGAAACGAAGAGGACCAAGGGCAATGCCTCTCCCAGCTGCCTCTGCTCAAAGCAGTGGTTTGTAGATGAAGTGCAGTCACCTTGCTGCAAGCAAATATCCAGAATCAATTTGTGGCCTAATTGCAGAATTCATCCTATGCACAGTTATATTTCTATTATTTAATGGTTGAGTTTTCTCTACGAATGAAAGATAAATCCCGTCTGTTACTTAGAATGAAAAGGAGACACACAAAGACACGCCAGGCAAATGCTAACTAAGTGAATGTGGCTTTGCGCCACCGACCCAGACAGAGCAGAATGGAGCATCACACGAACCTATGAGCCACGAGAAGCCCCAGCACCCCACTCTGCATGCAGCGCAATGTCAAAACGGGTGAAGCAGAACGGAAAATCTTCCACCGATTCTGACTTTATCAACTCCTCATATTTTTAATACATCCCTCTAAGGAACTAATAAGACAAAAATAAATAAGAATACCAGGGTGTTGAATATTCTCTGTAACTAACTTAATGTATAAAACTTGGCACCCAAAACACAGTGCACATTCTTTTTAAATGTCCTAGAAACATTTACAATTGGCTTGTACGCAACCACGAGAAACCTCAAACTGCAAAACGTAAACACCAGACAGGCCACATTCTTTGACCACCGTGCAACAAGACTGTAAGAGTCACACAGAACAGTCAAAATGACAAAAACCTAGCCACTTGGAAGCTCAGAAATACTCTCCTATACCAGCGATTTTTAACTAGTGTGCTGCAAAAATTCTTTTTATTGTTATTACTTTTAGCCTTACCCGAGGACATTTTTGCATTTATCTTCAGATAGAGCAGTAGGAGAGAGGGAGAGAGAGAAACATCGAGTGGCCCCCACCCACACAACCCCAACCAGGCCGGAGACAAACTGCAACCGAGGTACGTGCCCCTAGAGGGAACCGAACCCGGGACTCTCTGGTCCTCAGGCCGACGCTCTAACCGCTGAGCAAAACCAGCCAGGGAATATTTTTATTATTTTTTTAAATGTAATTTTTCCATCACCATTCATTTATCCCCTCTGCCCCGTTCCACCTGCACCCCCCCCGCCCCCCCACACACAATCACCACTCTGCATTGACTATTTAGTCAGGGGCTCTGACCTCTTTCCCTTACCTTGCCAAATTTAAAAAAATGGCAACGGCCAACATAACAATAGCAGTCCAGTGTGAATTAATCAAAATTATACCTTTTTTTTTTTTTTAGTCAGATGGGCAAAAAATATATTCCTTGTGATGCTGCAGAATTTCAGTAATTAGTTTATTTGTGCCATGAGATGAGAAAGGTTGAAAATTGCTGTCTTATACCATTCTTAAGCTAAAGAAGAAATAAAAAGTGAAATTTTATGCTATTTACAAATAAAGAATTGGTCCACATGATCAAATAATATGCAGCCATTGAAAAGGGCAGACTGGGGGCAGGCAGTGTGCCCTGAGATGAGGAAGCGGGCGGCCCGGTGCGAGCACCCCGTGGCTAGGGGGGTCTGAGCACCCCGTGGCTAGGGGGTCTGAGCACCCCGTGGCTAGGGGGTCTGAGCACCCCGTGGCTAGGGGGGTCTGAGCACCCCGTGGCTAGGGGGTCTGAGCACCCCGTGGCTAGGGGGTCTGAGCACCTTCGCTCTTTGGCCCCCGAGCCGTCCAGCGCCGTCCCTGCGGGCAGTCAGAGGAACCAGGACAGGCAGGCGGACAGGGACACCCGCGGGAAGATCTGGCGAACGCCTCCAATAGTATCCTTGCCAACACATAAATGGATAAAAGGCATAACTGAAAGTCTCAAAGTAATTTCACCAAACGTCCATTTTGGTTATTAAAAATAAAAGTGGGCTGGGGCCCTGGCCGGTGTGGCTCAGCGGTTGGAGCGGCCGCGGACCAACGAGTCGCGGGTTCCGATCCGGTCAAGGGCACGTACCCCGGTTGCGGTTGGTCCCTGGCTCTGGTAGGCGTGCGGGAGGCAGCCGGTCGATGTGTCTCTCACATCAGTGTTTCTCTGTCTCTCTCTCTCCCTTCCTCTTGCTCTGTCTGATGATAAATAGAAAAACTTGCTTGGGTGAGGAATAAGAAAAAGAAAGGAGCTGGGGGATATGGAGGAGGAACTTGCACTTTTTACTCATGTATTGGTGTTACTTGAATTTTGGGGTGGTGATCCTATTTTCATCTATTAAACATTGAACAGCTTATGAGTGTGTAATTGCATACCATAAAATTTACCCATTTGAAGCAATTCAATGTTATTTAGTAAAGTTAAGCCTTGCACAATGGCCACCAAGCAGTGACCTGAAGTCAGCTTGGGAACATTATCCAAGAAGAGGGGTGTCCCAGCGGTGGGAGTTCCTCCCACATTGTCGGGCTGTTTGAGACTGACACCCCCTGCTGCAGAGCCGTCTCCTGTGTGCCATCCTGTGCTGGGCACCAAGCAGATTCTCAGATGAAGGACACGTCCTGCCACTTGTCATTCAACTCTTTTTTGCTTGTTGTTAATACTCAGAGGATATTTTTTCCACTGACTTTTTAGAGTGGAAGAGGGAGAGAGAAACATCAATGTGAGACACATTGATTGGTTGCCTCCCACACATGCCCCAACCGGGGCCAAGGATTGAACCTGCAACCCAGGTATGTGCCCTTGACCAGGAATCGAACCCAAGACCCTTCAGTGTGAGGGCCAATGCTCTGACCATCAAGCACACTGGCCAGGAGCTCTTACCATTCAATTCTTCTTGCCAGCCACTCTGCCTAGAAAAATCAGATTCTTATAGATTCCTATCGGCCTTCTCCTGTCACCATCCTTGAGTGGTGGTTCAGGGAGCAAAAATGAGCTCACTGATTTTACCAGCCGTCTTCACTGTAGATATTACTAAGTGCAGGCTTATTAAATAACCCAGATCTCTCCACCCCGTCCAAGTCATCATAGCAGCAGTTTCCAAGGGAAGGATAAGCCAAGCCAGAAGTGGTTGAAAATGCATTTATTTTTTCATCAAATGATCTTTTTCGAGCAATAAATAAAAACAGACATGTTTACTTTTTCTAAAAAACAAAACCAAACAAAAAAATCCCCAAAACTATATACATTCTACAGAAATACAAGCATATCAAATGTAGAAATGACATCACTCTGAAAGATGGGGCTATTTACAGGAGTTACAAGTATTGCATTGCTCTGTCGTCAAGAAGCCTCTTCCGGATATGACTCATGAACTCTAAGGAAGGACAGGTTGCTCCTGGGGGGAGGTGTCTTCAAAGAGGTGAAACTCTCCATTCTTTTTGATAGACAAGGAGACTTTCAAGGGACAACATCAACATGCAGACGCTGTATTCAGTTCCCTGACAATGTTCCCCAGATCAGCTTCCAAGAAGCATGTAATTGTGCCCCCTTCAGGTCACATGCTCCTCGGGTTCCTGAGAAAAATCATCCTGACCTCAGCGGGGCTGGGACTGAAAATGAGACCAGGCTGAGCCAGGGACAAGCCCCTGGCTCTGATATCAAGACCCAGCCTCCAACAGCACCTTGCCATCCAGAGACCTCTTCCCAAGCCTGAGTTACACATGGAAAGCGCTTGGATGGCTTTGAAACATGCTGATGCCTGGGTCCCTCTTGCAGAAATCCCGGTTTAACTGGTCTGGGATCACCTGATAGCAGGGTTGTCTAAGCTCCCCAACTGATGGGAGTGGGCAGCCAAGGGGCACCACTGCTTTAAGAGGGGCTTGGTGGCCAACAGCCCCTTCCCTTCACATTGAATCAACCTCCCCAGGGTTTTACATTTTCCTCATGGCTTCCCAACCCTGTCGAAAACTGCCTGGAATCCACCCTGCAGTGAGCACCCGAGGACAATGGCCTCAGGAGGGAATGACTGAAGCGGGGAGTCCTGAGCTCCCGGCCACCTGCACAGTGACTGCAGACTAATCCCGCTCCGTGGGGAAACCAAGCCCCTTTCCTTTGGTGCTCCAGTCACCTTTGGGTCGCCCGACTCTGAAAAGGGACCGGCAGCTCTCCTTAGTCTCTCTAGAAGAGGCAGAGTCTACTGACTCAGAGCCAACCGCACAGTTGATAACCAGGGAACGTGGCAATGCCATCTGGACATCACGGAAATGTCACATCATCAGAAATCACTTCATGGGAGGGAGGGATGTCTGTTGAAACATTTGGACTGGCCCTGTGGTCATGTCTTCATTAGAGCTATTCCAAGTCATCAAAGTGGCTTCTGATGGGAGAATAACAACCCCAACCCCAACCCCCCCTTTTCCAATCAAGCCAAGTTCCTACTTTATTTCTTAGAGGTTGGGACTCACATTATTATCAAGTACACAGAAAATGGCTTTACGGTTTGAGATTTGTGCTAGAAGACTTGAATTAGAAAGCAGGGGAAGACGTGCCTAGGCTGGTCCCTGTGGTTGGAATTGTCCGGGAAAGCAGAACACATAGGTTTTGGCAAATGTATACCCCTTCTAGAAAAAGTTAATCTGTTCCAGGCTACTTTCCCTCCCCCCTCAGGCTGCCCCTCCTCCTAGGCCTATTCACTGTTGGAATCCGAGGCTTTGGCAGCTGCAGAAGCCCCTCAACCTCATTTATCATGAAACGTGAGTGACTTCCAGGAATGAAGGAAAAGTGGGAATGTTCAAGCTGTGCTGTCTCTAAATAGTCCCACTGTCCAGGAGCCCCGACCCCCCCACCCCTCACTCCTGGAGAAGGAGGGAGCCTCGGGCTTTCCTAAAGTTAGGGTTCAAGAACTCTGGCACCACTCAAAGACTGGGCCTGACAAAGGCAGGACGGACGATGCCGACACAAGTTCGCGTTCACAGAAGGAGACGTAACGAGGCAGGTGCTCTCTGGGCTGGCGGGCTGAGAAAACACATTCCCACACCACTGGCATGGAGGCTGACGTCACTTACGGGTGAGCAAGAATGTCCACTTAGATCTAGACTCTCAAAGGGCTAAGGAAAAAAAATGCTCTAATTTCTAGACAAGTTTGCAATGACCTCTAATCTGGCACTCCATGACAACACTGTCCCACAAGACTACAAACGCAATGACAAGTAGCTGGTTCCCTTCTCCCTCCCCCAAGCCCAACCCGAAGAAAACATCCTCCTCCCTCCAAAAGCCATTCCATTCGGAAAGCCCTGCAAATGGCATTATCCCGAGAGAGGACCCTAACATGGCACTGAGCGCCCGCAGTGCCCGTCCCGGGAGCCCAGCAGCCAGCTCCCAAGCGAAGTGTCTGCCCCAAGTCCTCACTCACACTGCTGCCACCCGACATCCGGGAGACCCGAAATGTGTCCACTCCCTTCTTCTCACTCAAGGGGGCCTTTGAAAATATTCACCTAAACCAGGGATTTGAATTTGTTGGTTGCACTTCATCCCAAGTAAACCCCTAAAATTAAAGTCTTCAATGTACGCAAAAGAGAAACGGTGGTGTTTCCACTGAAAAAGGGTGTTTCCGGCGTGTCTCTAGTTGGCTGGTTTCCCCCAACGGCCTTGCCAAAGGGGTCACCGTAGGAAAATCTGCACTGCACCCAAGTTTTCAGGAGCACCTAGTATGGTATGGCATTTGTCACAGGTGACCTACAAGTCCTCAGGCAGGTCTATGAGGGAAATGCTCCCACCGCCAAACTGAATTGTTGGGCATCAAAGAACAGGCTGTGGTTGTGGCTGAGAATCATCAGCGTCCAGGTGCCCGGGAACCAGCGTCCACAGTCACTGCAAAGTCGTCCCTTTCTTCCTCCTCCCACCCAGCCCTGCCTGCTTCTCGGTGACCGGTGCAGGGGGGCGGTCACTTCCCAACCTCAGGTACCACTGCCGACCTAGCCGCTGCGCCCGTCCACTGCCGGGAGACCCCCTGGACTTACATACTCCGTGGAAATTCTTAATAAATACTTTATTTATTATTAAGCATAGTTATTCACCTGTTTGTGACTTGGAACGGAAAGCCATGTCCTCGAAGATTTCTTTAGGAAAAATAATTCCTGGAACCTCAGCAACCAACCAGGGGCCGAGCACACAGAACCAGGCACTTCTGGCAAACCCGCTCCGTCTTGTCCCGTCCCTCCCTCGCCCTCCTGCCCAGTGACACCGGGCGGGCACATCTGCCAGGACCTGTGGGTTTCCTAACTTCAAGCCTTACTGCTTAAAAAAATGAGGTAAGAAATTCCTATCTGAAACGTAAAACCGACACGCACACCTAGCCCAGGTCTTGCCGCCCCGGAGGCCGCCGTTATTGCTGCAGGTTGGAGGGTTCTGCTTGTTTGCTGTGAAGATGTGTTCAGTCCTTATTGCCGTCGGCAGCCTGGGCGCCGAGGAGGGACGGGAAGGAGCTTGGACGCCGCCGGCTGCTCAGGCCCACTGGCTGCCCGCCCGCGGCCGCCCGTCTGAAGGCCCGGGTCTGGGGTCCCCAGCAGCCCTAACAGCTGGGAGAGGTGGTGATGGGGCTGTGCAGGTAGGGCAGGCTGCTGGGGGCCGCGTGCACGCCCACCGACACCGGGAAGCTGAACACGAACTGTGAGGTGGGCGTGGGGGTGGCCTTGCCGCGCTCGCGCAGGGGCCCCGACGGGCTGGCGGCCTCCACGGCGCAGGACGCGGCCAGCACCTGCGACTCGAACTGCAGCAGCTGCCCCATGAAGCTGAAGTTGGGCGAGATGATGCTCCGGCGCTGCTTGACGAACTCGAAGGCCTCCTCCAGCCTCACGCGCTTCTTCATCATCAGGTAGGCCAGGCAGATGGTGGCCGAGCGCGAGATGCCCGCCTGGCAGTGCACCAGCGCGCGCCCGCGGCGCTCCTTCACGGCGTCTGCGCGGAGGGGACCCGTCAGTGCCCGGCCGCGGGAGGGACAGGGGACTGGGCAGGTGTGGGAGGGTGGGGCACTCCCACTGAAGGGGGGGGGGGACCCAGGTGGAGGGACTGTAGAATCCCACCCCTTCTAGGCTGTTTTTGAGACTAAAGTAAACCCATGCACTGTGCTTGGAAAAACCGCATGCTAAACACCAATGCATTCAAGGGTTTCCATTTGCAGAAATAAAAACAGTGGCTCCGTTCTCTCTTTCTTTGTCTTCCTCCCCATCCCAGGAGCCTTATCATCTAGAAACCTGGAGACATGCAAGGAAAAAGTAACTGGCTCTACAAGCCAACGTGTTGCACCGGGGGTAGGATCAGATTTGCTGTCCCTTTCAAACACATGCAACAGGCAGATCTCCCTCTGGAGGATGAAGTGGGCGCAGGCACACCCACCGCCTCCTATCCCTCCTTCTCCCATGTAGGTTACAAGCGGTCCCTCTCATCCTGCCCAGCCCACCTTGGACCCAGTCCCCAGCCAGGGCCAGCCTACCAATGTATTCGATGGCTTCCATGAACCAGGAGCTGATGTCCGCCTTGTGGTTGTCTTCCACCGGGATGCACTTGTACTGATAGTGTCCCTCAAAGTGGTTTGGGCAGTCAGAGGAGACGTTCAACAGGGCCGTGATGCCCAGGGCGTCCAGCATGTCCCTCCGGGCAGCATGGTAGGCACTGCCGAGGTAGAGGAAGGGGAGGATTTCCACTGGACCCCCCTGCACCAGAGAGAGAGAACAAAGACCCCCAACATCATGAGTGCAAAGCAACCAGGAAAAGGGCTGGGTTGCTTGAGACGGGAGAAGTGGCTTTCACAGGCCCTGGGGAGATGCCTGGACACAGCCCTTCTAGGCTTCCCGTCATCCTGCTGGGGCTCCTGGAGGGAGCATGGGGCCCAGTGGGACCTCTCTAGCCTTGACTTGGCACCCTGCGGAGAACAGGTCAGGTAAAGCCTTGTTCAAGCAGCCCACGTCCCCGTGACAAATGGACAGACACAGTGCTGGCTTATCGCACCGTTTGTGACAGTAGGAGCTTACACCTGCTAAGCACCAAGCTATCTGTTGTGTGGTTTAGGGACTTACTTGGTTGGTTACTTCTTCACTTGGTACATCAAAAACAGATGCCAAGTCCGCCTCACAGACAAAGGGTGGGATCTTGGCAAAATTAGGTCACTTTGACTTAAATTCATGATCATTTTCTGAGTCCGATCAACCAGAGCAACCTGGGATTTGGGGAGCAGACTTGCTGGACTCCAGAGGTTCACCCCCTCCCTTGAAATGAAAAGGGCTGGAAGGGATGGGCTCGTAAGAAATGTAACGGCTCAGGCTGGTTTTCCTGGGGGAGGGTTGGCTGACCGTTTATGTCCACTTGGCATTTACAGTTGGTTCATAAACGGAGACAGCCTGACTGCTCTGGACTGGGGGCCACAGGCCGCGCCTTTAAAGAAAGGTGTTCTCTCGGCTTCCTACGGGCAGGTCGCAGGCTCCCAGTGTCCGCAGCCTCCCCGTCTGTCTGCACTAACTCTCCAGGAATCAGGGAGTCTGTCTGTATTTTTCCTCGAGTGAGGATAATAAAAAACGGAGGAGCAAGAACCCCAAGGAATAAATGGAATGTATCCCTAACCTACTTTATATCCCATTCCAGTACCAGGGTTCACCACATTCTCCCCAAAGCCCCTGAGAAGCAGAACCCGAGGAGAAGCCCCCACACACCTGGTCATGCAGTGGGGTTCCACAGGAGCTGCAGCCCAGGTCCAAGGCCTCGGCTGCGCTGGGCGGCACTGCGGGCGGGATGGCTGCCAGGGCCTTGGTTTTGGCACAGAACTCTGGATACTCAGAGGAAAACCTCTCGTAGCCACCTGTAAGGAGAAAGAAGTTCAGATTAATGGGGTCACTAAGCCAGCAGGAAACCACAAAGCACTTGAATCCAACCCCTGCACTGAGGGGAGAGGCTGGGAAGCTGGGCCTGGCTGGCTCTCCATTTGCCACTGGGTGGCGCTGTAAGCCCAAAGATAAAGGCTACTGAGCCTTTTCCAGGGACTCCGAGTCCATATTCGGCCAGGGCTGCATCCTGAAGCCTGGAAGGAAAGCTTTCCGGAGAAGGCTTTGGTTTAGGATGCAGACACACAGAGGAAGACGAGCAGAGGGTACGCCGAAGGGACTCTTTCCAGAGGAGCTCCTTGGGGTCACGACAAGGCATGCAAGAGGCAAAGGCCACTGGGTTTCCACGAGCACAAGAAACCTGCAGCTGGGCCCTGGCACCTGCAAAGATGTCTTTTGCTCTCTGGAGAGGTTCAGCGTGGGAGAGAAGGAAAAAAGATCACCCTGGCACCATCCCCTCTGGATCTCAGCAACAGAGCAGATGCCAGTCGCACAGCCTTGGGAACAGCTGTTCCATCAACAAGGAGCCAAAACGAGAGGAAATGGGCTTAAATCTAAATAAATCCCTCTTGCTACACACAGGTTCGGGGCAAGGGAGGATTTCCTGATCTGAGAGTTGCTAAGCCCTGCAATGGTTTTCTGTGGGATCACCTTCCGGGGAAGGGAGGTCTGGTAGGTAAAGAGAGATAAACTGATGTGGAACAGAGTTGGTGCCAAGCAGAGAGGCGCTGGCTGGGCGGAGGCGGGCAGGAAAACACTCCGGGAAGAGAAACGCCAGCCTCTGCCTCTGGTCTTGTGGTCTCGGGGACTCTGCTCCACGGGTAACTGACCACCTACTGTCAAGCTTTGCCCTGCTGGTATTTTCACTTTGTCGTTTCTGTAGGACCACAGAGAGCTTATAAATTAATTTAGTAGATGAAGGGGATCAAAACTTCCAGTTGGAAAGTAAAGAAGTCCTGAGGATGGAATGTACAGCAAGGTGACTGTAGTTATTAATACTGTGCTGCATATGGGAAGGTCGCTAAGAGAATAGATCTCAAAGTTCTTCTCACAAGAAAAACAATTTTAACCATGTACGGTGACAGGCATCAAGGAGATTACTGTGGGGGTCAAATATCGAATTATTATGTTTTACACCTGAAACTAATGTTACCTGTCAATTATACCTAATTTTTTTTCAATACCCACAAACTTACAAATAATTTATTCAGTAGGGCCTGCATGTTGTAGAATAACCATTCTAATAGACCCATTCACAACCGATGGTCATGTAGGTAACTAATACCTTTGAATCTTTTTTTTTTTTTTAATCCTTATCCAAGGATATTTTCCATTTATTTTCAGGCAGTGGAGAGGGAGAGGGGGAGGGGGAGGGAGAAACAGCGACGTGAGACACATTGACTGGCTGCCTCCTGCAAGCCCTGACCTGGGCTGGGGACTGAACTGCAACAGAGGAGCATGCCCTTGACGGAATCGAACCCTCGACTCTTCGGTCCATGGGCCGATGCTGCAGCCACTGAGCCCAACCAGTCAGGACGTACCTTTGCATCTTTATGACTAAGTGATATGGTGCCACTGTCCCCTGTGACGTTCACAGTAACCTTCCACTATGCAGACGCGTGACGGTTAGTCAGCCTCTTGCCCGGGATCCCGACCCTAGGAACTGCTTCAGGAAGGGAATGGTTCTGTGCCACATCCCAAGGCTCACAGAAACAGGGCGTGGTTTCCTCCTCTCTGGCCGGAGGCGATGCTCCCCTCCCTCCCTCGTTGGGATATAAATGGATAGCTCTCGGTCACAGGCACCTGCTGCTGCTGAGTCATACTGACCTGCCTCCCTGGACAGAGAACCTGCTGGGCCCACCCGGGCTGCTGGGGGCCTTCGTGGTGATCTCAGCACAGGAGGGTGGTCTCTCCCTCCTGTTATCACCCTCCCCATTCCCTTTCCTTATAAAGCTGCAGACATCACTGCCCCAAATGCAGTGAAGGGGGGAGGGGAGAGGAGCCCCGAAACACCTTAGCTGCAGTCCTCTGGGACAGGAAACTGTAAACCCTTCCTCCCCCTTTGGAGAAAGTAGGAAAGGAAATCGATCAACAAACCATGTTGAACACCTGTGTAAAAAGTCATCACGTGTGGCTCTATACTTCTAGAGGGTTTGAAAGCTATTAAAACACGTTTGTTTTCTTTTTTCCTAAAGAAATGTGAGGAATGAGCGGTGCCTTCCTAAGTCTCATCACGTGCAGTCAGAAGAGAGGTACCCACCCAGGAGCAAATGGTGAGGTCACAGGAATGCCAGGGCCGGGCTCCCAGGTCCCAGAGGAGGAGCGCCCTGTGGGCAGCAGAGGGGAAGGAGCCTCAGAGTGGCTGAAAGAATGTCCTTCTCGCGCTGGGAAGGCACCGCACAGGGCACCAGCCTGAAGCTCCGGAAGGGCACAGCCTTTGCAGTCAGACTCACAGGCCTGGGGCCGTCACGGAACTGCTCTGAGCTTCTTCAACCGTAAAAGGTGATGAAACATCCATCCTGGAGCCCTCTGAGGACTGACTGATCAGCCAGAGGGGGGCTGCATCAGCCGGGCCTCAGGAGACATCTAGGAGGGTTTCCTGTTTGGGCACCTATGAGGAGACTCCAGCATCCCTGGCAACTTGCAGACTTTGGGTTGCCTTCTCCTCCTGGGCTTTACCGAATTTTCCCAGTTGGAGTCTTGAGACCTGCTAGTTAGCCAGCAGGAGAGCAGGTTCCGCACTTCCTGAGCTGGAGGCCCCTCTGGGCCAGGGACATCGCTGCCCTCAAGCCCCACCATCAGTCAGCCAGGAGGGGCCGAACCCGAGTCCGCGGCTGCCCCTGGCGTGTGTGGTGGATGGAGGGACGAGACGGAGGTGACCCAGAGGCCAGGAAAAGACATATTGGAACAGGACAGAAGTCTGTTTCCCTCTAGGTTCGTGATGAAAATTAAAATGAATTGTTACTGTAGTTGGGAGTCACAAGACTGCTCCCAGACTTCCCAGTGCCTCCCCTCCCCACTTCCAAATCCGTGGAAACACCACAGCCCTATAAGAACTGGATTTAGATCACCAAGTTTTATCCAGAACTTATGAGAAGAAGGCTTGTTCCACCAGACACCATGGGCTGGGCTGGATCCGCTCCTCCTGCAGGTCCTGCAGGCAGAAGCACAGGCGTGGGCCCCGGAGGAGCGTGACCAGCAGTCTCTCCTAACCCCTCAGAATGGAAGGGTGTCAGACTGTCATCACCTCCAAATTCCCGAACAGCCACAACTTACTTATTTGCAAACTGCAAACTGACCTTAGTGCCCGAGATCTGCATTTTTATCTTCTGAAAACAATTCATAATAGATTCCACCTGTTTCTTCTACGTCCTATTAAGTGTCATCCCATAACATACTCGGAACTCATTTTGACCTATTTCTCCCATGTTCTTATTTGATGATATGCTTTCTAGACTTAAAATTCTATTTTCTCATCTTAATTTTAAAACTGGAGAGTTTAGGGGGAAGGGGATATAATTTTTCACCCAATTTTCTTGAAGAATAACTACATTTCCAGTCCACTCCCAGCTCTTCTGTTTCTCTCATGCACCCCACACAGCAAGGCACTTTTGGGGGGTTTGCTGAACATGGTGAGCAGCCAGCCTCCCGTCCAGGCAGGGCTGGGACAGTATGTGTGCAGTCTTCAGAAGGGACAGCTGATGTAGTGCTGGCACCGTCACCATAATGGGACCCTTAATGGGGTGTGTGATAGGGAAGAGTGTCACTGGTGGTGGCTAGGGTCATCGATCCAGGTGGCTGCTGCTTTTCCCCCATAAGAGTCAGAATATCACCCGTTCACAGTCAGGCCTCCTGGCCTTGCTGTCCAGAGATGTCATGTCAATACAAGGCAAACGTTGCCCAGCAAGAAAGTCTGGGGTCGTTTGAAGGTCATTTGGCTTTGAGAACTTCCCTGGCGGTGGGTGTTGACTAATAAGTGCCCATGTAATGCTGAGAGCAGTTTTTAAATTTTGCTTAAATGGGCTTCTCACCTTGGGACTCCACGCACAGGCCGGTCTGTCCTGGGACAGCTGGCTGACACCTAGCGCCACACTCAGGCTGGATCTTGATCTTGTTTGCAAGTCCCTCCCAGTCCTGTGCTATCTGCTTCGTTCAGCAAGCTGGCTTCCGCTCCAGGATCAACTTCTCTTCCTGTCCAACTTCCTCTTTGTTAGACGGGAGCTGTCTCCCAGTGAGGAAAACGGCTATCTCGTTTCAGATGTTCTGATTTTTTAAAGAAATTTCCTGGCTCCTTGAAAAAGGCCACCCCCTTTCTCTCCCCCTCCCTCCGTTTCTGTGCAGCCCATTTGGTGGTGCAGCCTACCTCTCTTATAAGCATCAAGGACAAGCCCAAGGGAGCTGTGATGGGCTTGATAACAAGGAAGTTTTCACTCTCAATGTACATGGACACCATGTCTTTAGCTACTTTTCTACTGAAAGCATCCAGTTCAAATGATGCAAAAAATAGTGAGTTTGCCTCATTCATTATAATTCTGTAACAAGTTACAAAAGGGTTAGACGTTTGTTAGGGCCTACCATTTCTTGTAATTCTACCAGTCCTTGACTGTCACAGGCATTGTGTCATATTTGTAAGAAGAAAAGCCAGTCCCTTTGGGCGCAGGAGGTGTGCAACCTCAGCATCCCCCCAGGGCTATGCTGTTTGATGCCACTGACATCCAGGGGACCTGGGAAGGGCCGGGCAAATGAGAACAGAGGGTGACAAGGCGAAGTGTGATGTCAGAGTCTGTATGGTCAGGCCTGGGGACTATAGGGTCCATGAGTTCCAATCTGGAGGGAGAACCTGGAATATCTAGCTGTCCTCCCAATTTCTCACAACAGCTTCAGGGCAGCTTTTATTTATTTGTTTACTTATTTGTTTACTTACTTATTTATTTACTTATTTATTTGGTACGTGCCCCTAGCCGCTAGGACCTAGCAGGAACTGAACCCGGGACTCTCTGGTCTGCAGGCCGATGCTCCAACCGCTGAGCCAAACTGGCCAGGGCTAGGGCAGCTTTTAAATCAGAACTTGAAGAACTGACAAAGGTCATGAGCTGAGATGAATTTGAGACAGGAAAAAAAGATAATATTTTTATACCTGAAATCTTCTGCATAACAGACTGATTTGTTATTTGGGGAATGTGAGAGTTAAAGAATGACTTCTATTAGGATAAGAAAATTCTCTTTTTGTGTTTCTCTGACCAAGGGTGGGGGGAGGGGGGGATGGTCTAAAACCCTAATCCAAAAATTTATGAGGGAGAAAGGGATTTGAGAGATGTGTACTGTAATAAAATCTGAAACTTCTAAACTGTCCCTAAAAATGCCTCACAGAATTTTAAATAAAATTAGCTTAAAAAAATAGTTTACCCCAATGGGAATTTTACTAGCAAAAAATGGTCAGAAAATGTAGTGACTTGAGTAACTGCTTTTAGCAAAACTTGGCAGCATTTTATTGATATTAAGTAAAGTTTACTCTTAACTATGAATTCTTGCCTGTGGTATTAGTTATTAACCATCTGCAATGAGTAACCAACCAACTGACCTTCAAAGAGACAGAAATAGAAAAATGTTAATTTTAAACACAATTAATTGGTAGAATTAGATAGCCTTAGGCCAGGAAGAATAATGTAACTTCTGAAAATACGCTGCTGTTTTTATTGTCCCTCCAGAATGGCGGAAACCAAGAATCGGATGCCTGGCTTGATGTCCAATCACTTTTACCCCACACCCACCACCACACATGAACCGATACACACAAAAAGGCCCATTAGCTGCAAAATAAAAGAGACAGCTCCAGCAGGAACCAAGTTACCCACCCCTAACCAATCCGGGCATTTACTAAAGATAGCTTAAGGATGTTTTCAAGGGTTTCTTCCCCTTTAGTTCCCTACCCCCTCCCCAAACCCCGCTGCCTCCACTCCACCGCCTTCAACTGGGGGCATTCACTGGTTTCCTCCCCCAGACTGCACATCCCCCCTGGGTGTGGGCAGACACTGCCCAGTTTCTTTCCGCCCTTACTTCGAAAGCCTTTCCACTGGAAAGCAAAAAGAAGAGGAACTGTATTAAGATGGCCTCAGCTTAGCACATATATGAAAATAAGCTCAGCTAATCTGACCCAGTGAAACAACCTCAAAGATATTCTAGCAGCAGCACAGAACAAGCTGGAAGAGCCTGCCACCTCTAACAATTTCAGCCTGAGGCTGCCAAGGCCGGCTCCCTTTGCTCAGGAAGAGCCGGCTGACTCTCCTGGCTACGCTCACGGCTTGTTTCTGAAGGGACAAGTTCAGCCTGAGACCCAGACACTCGCCACCGCAGAGGGAGGGTCTGTGGGCCTGGAGATGCCTAGGGTCGTCCTCCCCGCCTGCACCAGATCCGACAACAGGAGGCAGTGCAGACCTCCGGAGCTACTGCCCTCAGAACCTTCCTTTTCAGTTGGCTAGGCACCTCGCCAGCCGCCAGGGGACTGTCATTTTACCCAGAGGCTCCTCTTCTACCCAGTCTCACATTATTAGCATTTGCCTCGTGCAAAGCGGCCGGTCCCGGGGACGGCTCTCAGGAGTCTATCTGGCTCCGGGCTCTCCCGATGGGGTTCGGGGCGGGGGGACCAATGGGGTGCCATAAGGCGGAGGAGGAAACCTTAAAAATATGCCTCCCTCCCTGGGAGCGACGCCTAGGTGTCTGCAGGGCCGGAAGCCCAAGGGCCAAGATCCCAGAGCGGCCGCTCTAGGGCGGTCCCCTCCGGATTTCTTCCAGGAAGAAAAACAAAACAAAACGAACCCAGACTCCACGTGGGTCCGCCTTCTCTCCAGAAGGGTCCTCAGTTCAGAGGTCCCTAGAAGCAGGCATGAGCTGGGGCTCTAAATCAGGAGGGACAACAGAGCAGCACAGCACGGAGAACACCCCATTCATACCCTGCCGCTCAAAGCAATTTGCCGTACCCCCCAGCATCAGGCAAAGGAGGGCAGGCGTGCTCAGCTGCCTGGACCCCACGCTGCTGGTCTGACCAGGACCTGGACGCGGAAGCACGCGGCAGGGTTCCCGGGCACAGCTCCGCGCCCGGTCCTGGCGGTGCTGGCCCCTTCCTGGCACTTTCTCTTAAAGCGCTTTGAGGGGAAGGGAGGGGGATTGGGCTCCACCGGAGGTGCAAAAGGCAGCCTCACAGAGAAAGGAAAATCAGCAAAATCGCCTTAGTTCAACCACAGGTCAACAGCAGCATTTCCCCAGCAGCTGACAGGTCAAATGGCCAGGAAACAACTGCCCAGAACAAAGCACCCCGCTGTTCACCCGGGCAAGCCCGGCCCGTCGCCACGGAACAGTTTTGTGGTGCCTTTTGGAAGGGGCGGCGGGGAGAGGTTTCCGCCCTCCTCCCCCTACGATCGCCCTTCCTCTAGGGTGAACAGGTCGGGAGAGGAAAGGAAAGGAGGAAGGGAAGGGGCGAGGGGCGCCGGCAGGGGAACCGAGCGGCTCTTTGAAGGCCGGAGTCTGAACCGCCTCCCAGCTTCGGAGGCGAGGACCGGACGGGGCGAAAGAATGCGCGGAATGCGGCGGCGGGGGGCAGGGGCGCCTCGCGGCCAGAGGTGCCCTCACTCCACGAATCCGGCGGCTCTCACTCCGGGAGGGACGCGGAAGACAGCGGGCGGGCCCGGGCGGCAGGTGCGGCCAGCGCACCGTCCCTCCAGTTACTTGGACAGCACGCGGTCCTTTCTCGGTTTCTGACTTCCAGATTTCACAAAACCTCTCCTCCAAAGAGTTTCACCGGGGTTCTCTTAAATCAAGCATGTGCCTCCATCTGATCGTAGAGAATCGTATCTGAACAAAAGGTCGTACTCCTCCGCTGCCTGAATATTTGGGAGGCACTGCCCCGCCTTGCGTTCCCCAAATACTCGCACCTCACGCCTTCTGCGCCCGGAGCCAGGAGCCTGGGTATAGCTCCGCACGGCAGGAGTCAGCCACCTTCCGGGAGGAGCTCGGAGTTGGGCAGCAGGAGAGGAGATACAGATCGCTCCACGCAGTGTCCGCAACCTAATCTTCCTTGTGCATTTCCAAAGGGCTGGTTTAAGATCAAATCTGCGCTCACCATCCTTCACCCCTTTCCCCACCTCTCGGGTTCTCCGGGACGGACTCAGTGCAGAGCCCCGGCACGCCAAACCAACAGGCCTAACCTGTCCTAACCCGCACAGTGGCACTTGGGTGCACTTCCCTGGACTGAAAGGTGGGAAACGCAGAAGAGGCGCTTCGCCCGCAAGGCCAGACCGTTAGTTAGTGAGAGTAAACAAACGCAGAACTGCCAGGAAGGGTGCAGAATTGCAGGTGACGGAGAAAACGTGCCCTCACGGTCCTGAGGACTTCAGGAGCTCGCACTGCACACAAGCTCACAAACCCTTGCAAACCGGTGCACAGCAACGCGCACAAAGGAGTGCGCAGGGATCCCCGCCGCCACGAGTCCCTCCTGGCACTTCATCTCCCCGCTACTAGGGCGCAGATCGCCAAACCCCTCTACACCTCCCTTCCAGCTCGCGATCTGGCGCCTGCGTTTACCTTTGAGCAGGCAGATGTCGGTGCGCTCGGCGTTGCGGCGCAGTGCCTGCACCACCAGCGACACAGTGCTGTCCTCGCGGAGGCTCTCGGCGCGCGGGCTGCGCTCGTCGTAGACGATGACGGCCGAGTAGAGGCCGGATCGCAGGCGGGCGCGCACCTCCTCCTCGGCGGGCAGAATCTGCTCCAGGCTCACGGAGCCTTTGGCCCGCCGACGCACGATGGTGTTGCAGCGCACATTGACCGAGCCTCGGATGTAGCCCGCGCTGTGCGCCAGGAACGGTCTGCAGTCCAGCAGCAGGCACTTGCCGCCGCTCAGCACCCCCAGGGCGCCGCCGCCGTTCTCGTCCCGGTTCATCAGCCTTTTGAGCACGCTGCAGTCCATCTCCCGGAGCTCCTCCACCGTCACCATGGTGGCTGGGAACCGCCGCTGCTGGGCACACGAGGAGGCGAAGAACAGCCGGGACAGCTGGGCTATAGGAAAGGGCGGGTGAGGTCTAAGGCAGGGCAAGTGCAAAAGTGGCCTCAAACTTGGCCCTCAGGGGCTCCCACAGTTGACCCTCCTGTCCCCAGTATCCTTCCTTCCGCAGTCTCGCAGTCACAGAGCAGTCCAAACGGCCTCCAGCACCAGGCAGCAACGCGCGCGGTGCGAGGGGGAGGCGACTGTGGAGGGGACTGTGTTTACGGGCGAGGGCCAAGGGCTCCCTTCTGTTGTGGCCTCTTTGTATTTTGCCCGCTGTGCTGCTCCTGCTGCCGCCAGTGCCGGCGCTGTCGCTCGGCCGTAGTTCCCCACAAGCAGCCGGAGCTCGGAGCACAGCCCGAGCCAGAGTTTCCTCCTCGGCTTAGAGATTTATTAATGCTCCTCTGCTCTCCCCGGGGAAGGAGCCGGATTCAGTACTACCTGGCGAAGCCCCGCCTCTTTCCATTCGGGTCCTCCCGTCTCCCGCCCCCCGAGCCGGCTCCCCGCCCCAAGTCCGCTCCCTCCGCCCCGCGGCCTCTCTTACTGCCCCCTCCCGTGCACGTGAATGGAGTGCGGGCCGCTCGCGCCCAGTCACGGGGACGCGACGTCACAAAGAGCAGAGTAAACAGGACGCTGGGCGCTGTTCCCCAAGCCCATTCATAAAACCCGGACCTAGAGGAAGAGGGAGGAGGCCTCCGACCCGCAGGCAAGCTAAGCGCCGGGACGTTGTGAATGGAGCGCGGCGGCGCCTCGCGCTGTCAGCCAGCGGGCGAGTCCGAGCCGCCGCTGCGCTCCAGCTACCCAGCTCGAGCCGCCGTGCAGCCACTCCACCCCGGCACAAAGAAATCAGCCGGCCGAGAAGCGGCCTAACCGAGGCTAGGGGTCGGTTTTGATGCCTTTCACCTCCGTGCTTTCCCCACCCCCTGCCTCCTAACAGCCTCGCAGTCCTTCCCTCCCCGCATCGTAGCGGAAAGGGGACCGTGGCACCGCTGCCCACCCGGTAGAGCTGGAACCTCCTCGCCCCAGGCAAACGGAGTGCGTTCGGCCCGGCTAGTGGTTTTTTCAAATGTGATTCCTCTGACGTTAGCTTATGCATTAGCGTGATCGATTTTCATCGTAAGCCATTAAATCAGCTTTATAGCTTCCCGAGGACATGAGCAAGCTCCAACTTAGAAGATGAAAGAGAAAGCCCTCCCTTCCCGAAGTCCAGTAATGGGAGCGGGGTGTTGAGTCTGTGGCTTTACGACCCAGAGGGAGGCATTCATTGCCGGAATGTTGTTCCTCTGGAGGAAGGCAGGGTGCCACTCCCGTTCATGCTTCCTAAAGATGTTTGTTTAACCCTGGTTAGGGGGAAACACACTTTTTTTTTTTGGTTTTTGGTTTTGTTGTTGTTTTGTTTTGCTGGCTTTTGGAAAAGTCCTCATCCCATGTTGCACATGTGCAAATTGTCTTCTCAGGAAGTAACAATGAGGGTCCACATCTGGTGCGAGGCTAGACCCTGAGAAATTTATGCGTCAAGGATTTAATAAGCTCTGGGGCGGACTCAGGTCTCTGCATCCCCCTTTCCAGGTCATGTAGCATTTTTCCCGCCCGCAGTTTTACCTATGCATTTAATTTCCCATAGGCAGCTTTTGGCAGGGGCCTTGTGTGCGTCGCGATGGGGACACGACAGAAGCCGAAAATTATTCGCCGGACATCTTGCCAAGTCTTGTTAGTGTGAATTAACCAACCAGCGGGAGAATTGTAGGACTCGCTCGCCGTATCGATGGCCGCTGGGTTGAGTCTTCCATTCTTGGTCAGTGTGGAAGCCCGACCCAGGCAGGCAGCGAAGGCCACGGAATCCTTGGAGTCCCTCCCTCCCCCAACTGGCCTTCCGCTCCGCCTTTGTTCTGAGCTGAGTAGCACTCCTGATCTCTCACCTCCGGCCCCCAGGGCCCCCTCCACTCCCCTCCCGGGGCCCTCAGGGGGGGCTCCACTTCCCAGGCCTATGGCTCGCGCTCCTCTCCCCCAGCGCCAGAATCTCCCGACACCCCAGCCCCGGCGATCTTCCTTTCACAGGGGGGCTACAAAACGGCTCAGCAGGGCTCTTCACTGATCCTGCCTCTATTTAGATTTAATATTTTGTTCATCATACTTTTTTGGGCGTTAATTTTAATTGCTTTAAAAGAATTGCATTAAGATAGTTATTTTTAACCACTGATGTTTTGGTGCCCCTTAAATTTTGCTCCCAAGGCGCTGCTCATTCTAGTCACAGGCCTGCAAGGGGTCACAAGTGCGTAAAGACCGAGGCCTCCGGGTGTGAGGTCAAAGGCTCACTGCTTGGCCTCTCGGGTATGGAGGGGTTTGTACTCCCTCCCGAGGGCAAAAGGGGCCACTGTCGTGGCTGTGATGCTCTGTCTAAAGCCTCGCTCGCTCTCCCAAGTGCACTGGGTGCGCCCCTTTCCAAGTAGTCCTCCATGCCCCGACCATCCGGGGCTCATCAGGCCCCAGACAGGCCCGCGGGCTGGGTCCTCTCCCCGCGCAAGTAAACGCCGACGCCTTCACGAGCGCTTGGACAGAACGTCTCTCCCAAGAGCCTCTCGGTCGCCGGCAGGTCCAGGCCAATTTCGCACTTGTCGCAGGAGCTGGGCAGATGTCCTGGGCCGCACTGGCCCTGCTCTTCTAGCCTTGTCTCCTCTGCGCTCGGGTGGCCTCCCCGAGGACAGGCCCCCGCCCACTGCCCACGTGGCCGGTAAACAAGTGAAATCCGGGGGGAGGAGGGGATGCCCACGGAACAAAGACTTGCTTTCTGCACCTGAATGTAATCCGTGCTGGTGAAACCCGTAAATCCCGCAGGAGAATCAAACGAAAGGGGGTGTGGGCAGGTGCGTGTGAGTGTGTGTCCAAGTGTGTGTTCCCGCGCCTGCGCGCCCGCACCCTGGAGAGGAGCCGCAGCTTCGGGCTGACTGGATTTAAACCAAGAGCCGCTTTAATTACGAACGCAAATGCTTGATTTTTTAAAGACACGAATTTTTTTTAATCCTCTCAACTCAGGAATTTGCCATTAGTTGTGTGAGTTTCAGTAAATGACATTTAAATTTTGTATTTATCCAAATCCTTTGTAAGCACCCTAGATAATTTTTTTTTCTTTTTAATTTTTGAGTTGTAAGTGTGTGGGCCTTTTGGGACACAGTTAAATGAATACAATGTGCGAGCTAGTGGATACCGATTATAAAGAAGATAAAACTTGTCTCAATTAGTATGTAGGCTGAGGGTGGTGTGCTTAATCAGTTTACACAGCAACTTGTGAAACAGCTTGTCAAAAAGTAGATCTTGGAGAAAGCAAAGGCATTTGGAAGGAAGACTTGTTTTAATGTCATTTCAAAGTTAATTTAATTAACGAAGGCATATCTGCTGGAGTTGGAATGGGATTGCCCAAGGAGAGATATTTATATTCAGCAGTAAACCTGTGGGTAAAAATACTTTAAAAATTCATTGGGACATGTAAATCCAACTTCTTTTTCATCAGACGGTCCTTAGACCACCTCATTAGTCACTGTCAAGACTGACAAAACTTATGTTCTTGTTTAAGAACATTTCTTTCCAATTAGGAATTTGTGTGATCTGGGACTTTAAAGCCCAGAGTAGGATCCCCAGAGAGGATTCTGACTTCTATTCTGGTTTTGATGCCAACCTCTGACTCATTGCCCTGTCCCAAAGTGCCTGAATAAAACTTGCCTGAAAATCATTATTGAATTAATCAAGGTGACAATGGTAAGGTAGGTCCTGTGGCCTCTCCTCTGAGCAGAGAGGGTGCCTTGCTCATTACTCTCAACTAGAACAGGTATGATCCCTTTTGCAGTTTTTTTTAAATCCTCACCCCAGGATATTTTTCCATTGATTTTCAGATAGAGTGGGAGGGAGGGAGAGAAAGAGAGAGAGAGAGAGAAACATCAATGTGAGAGGGACACATTGATTAGTTGCCTCCCTCACTACCAGGGATTGAACCGCATCCGAATTACGTGTCCTTGATCAGAATCAACCTTGAGACTCAGGCTGATGCTCTAACCCCTGAGCCAAACCGGCCAGGGCCCATCCCTCCATCACTTTTGCATTTTACATGGACCCTTGGCTAGGCTTCTTAGGTCAGATAATGGAGAACTGGAATGCTCAAAAGAACTGGTACTGGGAACCCTCAGAAGAACTGGGAGGCTGTCTCCTGCTCCTCAAAGCAAAGAAGTCTGTGTCTACTGTGTGTTTTTGAGCAATATGTATCAATGGAATTGAGGAATGTGTGTCCTTCCCTGCCTGCCTCTGACCATCAAGTCAGGACTCAAAGCAGAGAGTCTGCAACGTTTAGACTGAACATCATCAAACCTCAAAAACATAGCCCTAATTTTTGGGGTTGTTTTTTTTTTTTTAGTCCTTGTTGTCACAAATCCCTTCAATAGCCTCCATTCATTTTCTATGCATGTTACTATACCATAGAATAATTTGAAATGCTAGGTTTCTCACCTAGGATCTCTGCAGAAAAGTTGAATACATTGCTTCATTTACTACTTTATCTGAAAACCATTTAATCTAGTCTATGCCACCATCTAGCTTGGTGATCTTGAGCAAGACAATCTCCCGGGGCCTCAGTTTCTTCACCTGCAAAACAAAGAGTTTGGGCAGGACAGTGTCTCAGCTCTAGTTTGTTTCCAGCACTGTGTGATCTGAGCAGGAGAGAGCTCCCCATCAACCCCAAGCTTCAGCGTGTAGCTGCCCTCCCTCCCCAAAGCCAGGCGCACTAAAATGCCACCACACAAAGAACAGTCTCGGACTCCTTTCTCTTCTGTCCCTCTCTTGCTCGTGGAGAGCAAAGCTGGTAGTTTTTATTTATCTGTTTAGTCAAGCAATAATGTCCCATGCAAGTCCTTCAGCTTTTCAAAATCAAATTTTGGAAACAAATACTTCTCCAACGAGAAGATAAAAATGGATTCCGCGGTTTGTTGTTGTTGTTTATTTGGTTTGGGGTTTTGTTTTGTTTTTTAATCACTCTAGCTGTGAGTCTCTTCCTATTTATTCAGCAAACATGTTAAATTTGATGGGGGAAAGAGATTTGTCTGAAACACTGACTGTGCCTTCAAAGAGTTTATAATCTAGTAGGTCTGGTCAGAGTGTGATTGTCACGGTCGGTTATAGGAGGCAGGATCTAATAAATGTCATTAGGGAAGAATAAAATGTCAGAGGGATTCAGCCAGAAAGGAATTGAGCTGTGTTGTGGGATTAGGAAAAATGAAAGAAAAAAAAGCCTATTGTGAATAAAATGCGTTTCATCTACTTGCATGTTATCCTTGACTTTAATTAGGGTCCTTATTCTTTTTCTTTTAAACTTTTATCCCACCTCTGATATTTATTCTGTCCTT